TCTTTTGCATCCAGCCAAACTTATTGGCAGGCCCAACCCAATTTAAGGCTTGCTTGATTGACAAAGGCTATTCCCTCAAAGCCCCTGGGGCACCCTCCACATCATGCATCCTAGCACAGCAGCACCAGAGCTGACCTGGCCTTGGCAGACCCTTCGGCCCAACTAGGCACCACCTGTCATGGTGCCCCCAGGAAGCACTCCTCAGCCAGCCAGCACCGGACACCCAGCCCAGGTCTGCACGCTTCTGGGGCAGTGCTGCATTCAGCTGAACCACCTTCCTGGCCCAGGTACCGAGACAGCCGTTTCACAAAGAGGCAGGTCGATTTTGGCTGCTGGAGCTGATCAGCCCTGCTGGACCGGAGCTAACTCCAAATGGAGTGGGGGCCCGTGCCGAACTCCCCGGCATCCCAGTCCTGGGAACGGTGTGCAAAAATACCCAAGCTGTTGCTATGTGCAGCCAGCTGCTCCATGAGACAGCAGCTATACTGCTTCCAATGACGGGCTCTCTCTGAAAGCAATACAGCCACGGTCATGCATCACTGCGCTCATCTAATCCCGCTGCCATCCTAAGATAGCACTCTACCTATGCCACTAATAAATCCACAACTCAGATAATCTAACTAGAGTAATTGAGAGTTGACTATTAACACACAGATCAAGGGATTTTTTTTCCACTTCTGTTCTAGCTGGAGCACAGACTCTGTACATTTTCTCTACCTGAACAATCTCTTCTGGCATGCCACCTGGCAGGTGGAAAACTCCTCACAAAGCAAAGGTCGACTAAAATATTAACAATGTAATCTACTGAATAAACAATTGCAATAGATATTTTCATTTTTTCTGATCTCTCTTACCTGTCTGTTCTAATCCGGATAATAATATGCCGTTAAATTGAGGTCAGTAGAAGACTTCTGACATTCAGGTAAGTGTGCAGGTAACACAGGTTCCCTCATAGACCTAGCACGGGTAGAAGTGGGAAGAGCATTTCGTGTAGACAAGGCACCCTCACAGTAACAATTAACACAACAAAGACTGACAACAGCATTGCTGCTTGCGTAACTGTCATGAAACCCTCTACCGTAAGAAAAGTATTAATACAAGTTCATGACAATTAACAGCTTATAAGTGACATGTTTCCCGTAAATATCCAACAAAGCTAATCCCATGAGAAGACTGACATGACACAAAGCCAGGCTAAAGAAAAGATAGAATTTGTGATATGGATTCAATTTATAACTCCGGCCAAAGCTACCGCCCAGAGATGGCTGCTCTAAAATGTGCCTGCAGCATTAGTACCATGAGCAAAGTCTCAGGTGATGTCTGTAATACAGGGCTATAAGTCACACTACCTTGTTTTCTCACCTGTGCTAGAAAGCCTCTCTTGCAGACTTAGCTATGTTAGCACAGAAGTGCTTCAGCAAACTCAGCTTATGGCTTTTGGGTGAAGTTGCATCACTCTGCTGAGAAAAGCCTTCCTTCTGCCACTGTGTTTGGAGACTTTGTCAGGGACCCTGTCAAAACCGTAGACAAGTCCTCAACAGTCACAGCTCCCAAGTGATCTGGGAATAAGCGACTCTCAGACACCATGAAATAACTAGATAGTTGTCCTCAGTATTTTTAAAATGTCTTAGAAATCATTTCAGCTTGTTGAAGCTGTTATTCTAGAGGTAAATCGCCCTCCAGTAAATGTGCAATGACCTTAAAATTATCAGAGAAAGAATGTCTAAGAGTTCCTGAAGGATTTTGCAGGCACTCTGAGCAAGAAATACAGCACTTAAAATCAAGAGTGGTACAAGACACTACAGCTTTTGCCACTTGCTGAGTAGGCAGCAAGGCTGTGACTGCGCAAGCTCTTCCGAGAAGGTTGTTAATAAGGTTATAAAAGATCACAGCTGGAACTGTATCAGTACCAATAATAATAATAGCATTAGCATTTCGTGATCAGTCCTCTACATGAAAGATGCAGAGTGGAAGCCATGTTTTACTCAACCTTAGGCTCCTTTTAGAGCTACTTACACTTGTACGTGATTCGAACTGGATCACCTCATTTAAGAAGCGTTTTCTGAGCAAAAGAAAGGGCATGTTACCTATTGATCTCTCTCTTATTATATTTAATTGTATAACAAATCAAAGGCACAGGACCCCGCTGGTGCGAAGGAGCGGAGATGAGATATATGTTACATTTGATTGACCAGTAATTGCTGAGAATAGGAGGCTCTTTGATACGAGCTGGGCTCAGTAGACAGCATCATTAGATGCGTCATTAAAGGGAGTGAACCGTAGCCATCTGGCCACCCTGAGCAAGTCAGTGAAGCAGCACAAGCTCTTTCCAGGGGTGCACATCTTCATCAAGGCATAACGCAGCACTATCAATGGGTATGAACCTTTTTTTATTTTCCGAGGAAGATTAAACCCGGGGGAAGAAGAGAAAATACAGGAAAGCTCCGTTCCTTTTATGGTTGCCTTTGTCCACCCAGGGCACAAGGGCAAAGAGACCACTGGGCCACCACATGCAGTAGCGTGCCATAGCAGCCTTTTCTGGGCACACGTCTGAGCTGCTGACGCAACTCACTGGCCCAGCAAAGACCATATCTCACCACTGATCCCCAAAGATTTATGGCTCGTGCCCCGTCGCACTCCACGGTGATGCACATTAAAAAGCAAAGAACCATTCCTACTCGGAGCCTGCTACGAAGCAGCATACACACAGTTGTCAGCCCTCTCCTGCAGAACTGCTGCATTACAAAATCACAGCAGAAGAGGCTGCTTTTAAGAACGAAACAAATGGTGCCATCTGCTGACCAAAGCACAAGTACACCTAGCTCCTTCACACACAGCAACGAACCCCGAGGTTTTCCTGCCTTCAGCAATATTGCTACACAGGGACAATTAAAAATATCTTTTTTTTCCTTCATCTCTATGCATTGTATGCAGGCTCAGAAAATGAGCAGTACTCCTTTGGCAGTATATTGTGCAGAATACGTGTACAAACAAGGAACTCGAATACGTAATTCTCTGCGGTGGGACTGCCCTGTTGCACTAGTCCCATAGTAGTCCCATACACAATATGTTGTGCATGTTACTAGGCTACCAATCAGTACTCTTGCTGGAGAAACAACGTGCTTGAGGATCAGCCAAAGAGAAGCAAAAGCTGTCTCTGCCTTCTAATCAAGCAGGGTATTATTATTTTTAATTTCTGACCTGCTGCTAGTAAGCTAAAGAGCTCTTCAATAAGCAACTTGTAATATTTAACCTTTCAGTAGGCACTCTAAAATGTGACAATTAGTGGGAACTAATTGTCACAAGAAGACAAAAAGGCAAATTAGAAACTAGAATTGCATTTTGCAGGGCCTAAAAACAAGGGCAATAAGCTTGAATTTGATAAAATAAAGGAATGAAGTCACCAAAGAATTAAAAAGAAGATTGACAAAAGATTATTGTAACTTCCTCATGAGAGCTGATGGAGCTGTCATATAAGTCAGGTCCATGCGTAAGGAAAAACCATGACATCAGAAAACAAATTTGCCCAGGAGTGCCAGGGAAAAAGTGTGATCTGACCTCAGACTGCCATTCTAACATGTGGCAGATAAAAGCAAGCTGAACTCTTATTGAAGATATGGCCGCTGCAGTTCACCACAGACCTGAAGGTCACTGCAGACATTGGAATTTTGACCCACAATGGTGGCTGGCCCCCACTGGGACAGCAGATGCCCTTTCGCTGCCTGTTACCTCCCCACACCGGCTGCATTCACAGCTCTGTAATGTGTGATGGAGCTCTGGAGCCCCTTTGCAGACAGCATTTGGAGGTCAGCTAGCACCAATTTCAATTTAGCTAAAAACATCAGGTTGTTTCGATGTTTTGGTGGCTCAGGAGCCAATACACGGGCTGTGCATGAGCCAGAAGAAAGGTGTAACCCAGGCAGCTTCAATGGAAAACTCATTTCAAGAGTTTATAAAACTTGCCTCTTGTCGATGTGCAGTCACCCCTTACCGCCAGTGGCTGCACAATATTTCTGAGCTTTTGCCAAATTCTTTTCATAACTTTATAAGGTAAGGCAGAGCCATGGGGGAAAGGAATTTTAATCCATACCTATAAACTATGAGCGGAGGGAGAGGGGACTTGAACACGATCTTCTCCAACAGGAGCAACTTTCAGATAAGCACAGGAAAAAAATTACTATGTGACTTCTCAACTCCGTGTCATTCTACTTATTACAGATTAAATTCAGATGACACTGGTGTGACGTAATAAACATGTCAGCAACAGTTCAGGTAGATTGCAGACACTTGAAGCCCAGACCTAGAGGGCTGTCAGACAAGGATAATTTCTACATCTAAAGTGCCACATAAGAAGCTAGCTCACATTAGGGCAATAAAGCTTGATCTAGGGTTAAAATGAAAAATTTGTGTTCACTGTAGTTCTTGTTCCATTAGACATGAGGCAATCCTGCAGTGCTTCTCACCTTGCCTTATATCCTGCTCTATACTACAGACAGAGCTGAAAGAAATTGCACTGAAGAAAAGTTCAGCCTCAAAAGATGCCATTTTAACACTGTAAATATAAAGATCTTCAGGAAGAGCCCTGAAAGGAAGAAAAATAATGTAATTGTGCTAGTCTGATGGGTTGTTAATGGTTTTCATTCATACCAAGTGCTGGGTTTTAACTTGAAGGGAGAGAGGTACAAAGATCAAGAATGAGAAAGAAGGTCTGGAGGTGCAAAACGGAGGAGTTTTAACTTTATGAGCATTCTTAAGACACATTAATATGGATAAGGTAATTCACTCAGAAACAGTCAGGCATTTCCCTCTGCATACAACTCATGGGGTTGGTTAACAGAAGGTATGTCCACTGAATCAAATATTTAAGGGCAGTGGAATACAACCTGGCAAAAGAGGCTCTATTCTGCAAGGATGGAGTTGCCAATCTTCCTGATGCCCCAGCCTATAAGAATTCATCTGGCCTAGGCCCACGCAGTGCATATTCCATACCGTGGAGAGGTATGGAGCAGGAGAGCACTGGGGTTCGTGCACTGGCTGGAGAGGAGATCGCCTGGGACAGTGTCCACTACTCTGTGCAGCAGAAGCCAGATGGGTTTGGCAGGTCCTTGGGTTCGAGGGTAACTAACACTGGTCCTAACAGCCCTTTCAGGCTCTCCCCTTCCAGTTTGGTATGTCCATTATTTCTGTGCTCACAGAGCCTCACCATCAGTCACGTGCCTTAGCCTCAGGATGGGAGATGCTCTTGAAGATCATTCAGGACGTGCAGAGAGAAAGCTCCACGCCAGGCATTTCTGCACGAGCAGCACACTAGCGAGAACATTATCAGTACAGCTCAAAGCAGCTGAGCTTCGTATTGTCGGCAACAGTAAATACTAAAGATGCTACAGCCATTAAATATATACTATCTTTCAGTCTGTCAGGTAAGCATTACAAGAGGGGGCAGTGGCAATTACACAAGGTAATTACAGGTGAAGACAACACAGTTTATCACGCAGATGACAAATTGCAAGGAAGGATGAAAGACCCTGGTTCTGTCTGGGCAATTCATATAGATTAAACAATAACTTTAAAATAATTAACCTAGCAGAATGTAATGATTTTTAAAAACAGTTTAAATGGTGTTTAATTTGTTTAAATGAACTGTCCCATTAAAACCCACATCCATCATTTTGATTTGGAAGGGAAGTTTTAATAAGTCCAACCTTTAGCACAGTTTTAGTAACAGTATTACAGATTTATAGATAAATGTCTCAGGTGGAAAATATTCTAATATAATGAACTTGTAATTAGATCTGGTAAGAATTTCCCTGGAAGTTAAAAATCAGAGAAAATGGTAATAACTTTAATGGAAATATTTTGCTGTGTTTTCAACTATTTATAATGATGGATAACTGTACATTTATACTAGCACTATCACTATTTATGACCTGCAGCAGCAAAATTACAGGCTTCTAACATGGAAAATAAACAAAAAAGACATGTAAAGTGCTCAGAGACCATAACGGAAATAATGAAAATACTGCAACAATAAGACGCAGTATCCAAGCAGCATCATGATAATAGATGCAGCGGCAAGAGCATCTTTTAAGAACGTTCTCACAACTCACGGCTCTTCTGAATCTGATCCCTAGCTATTGCTGGCACCAGTCAGACCGCAATTTTCACTGCCTGATCAAATTCAACAAACACAATTGAAAAAGTGGCTCCAGCAGCTCATTCCTTTGGAGACGAGGAGCCCTCTCCTCATGTCCAACCTGCACCCACTCTATGGAGCAAGCCTACTCATCTCTCCGCTGGAGCAGTCTGCTGGGTAGTGTGAAGGCTCACACAGCCCTAAGCACTATACTGTAGGAGCTGAATGAGGGAGCCAAATAACACAGGATGCCAGGGCTAAAAGTACTATGAAAAATACATAGTGGGTGGAAAACAGAGCAATTAAAAGTGCACATTCCTCTGTAAATGAGGAAAGAATTTAAATAGCACTTTATTCCGTATCCACAAGCAGTGGGTGCCAAAAAAAAAAAAAGGAGTAAGGCTGATTTGTGACAGCCCCTGATTCTCAGGCAGTTTGTGTTTTAAACAGCTTTCAGTTAGCTCTGACAAGGCTAACTGGAATACTATATTTCAGAGATTTGAGGAGATCTGCATTCCAAGCAAGCCACGAAGGAGCATGGAAAATAAATAAAAGGGAAAAAATTGTAAAGACACTTTGTGACTGATTCAGAGTTGGAGGGCCTGCTCTGCATTAGTGGAGGGCGAAGTGAGCCCCTTATGGGTTCCCCTTCTGGGAACCAGAAGAAGAAGCTGAGACAAAACACTCAGAAAATACAGGTATCTGCAGGCCTTATTTCTCTATGATGGCACGTAGTCCAAGTGTAAATGTAGGGTTTAAGACATGATTTCATGGGACAAAGTGAATCAACCTAATAGCTCCATCCCGTGGAAAAGTGAGAGTTCTTGCTACCCCTTTTTGGGTCCTTTCCCTGCTCCTACCTGCATGCTCCCACCATTTACCTTGTGCCAGCTCTGGCAGTCATCAATTCCTCTCTGAGCTTCTTCCTTAACACAGAAGAAAGCTGTTCCAACAAAATATGTGGGTAATTTTCTGTGAGATGGAACAGTTTAGTATAGGGTTGTTGTGTCCAACAAGTACCAGCAGAGTGGACAAGGCTGGATAGCTCGTCTGGAAGTAGGAAGGAAAAAGCAGAGAGGCAGGGGGAGAAGACTTCCGCCATTAGTGGCAGTAGGTCATATACAGTTAAGCAGGATATGAAACTAGCTAAAAAAAAAAAACAGAAAAAAAAGGAGATTGAAAAGAATGTCATAGCACCATTAGTTGAGTCCTCATTCCTACATGGTTGATACACTTTCAGAAGAGATGGTGTGCACTTCATCCTCCTGGAGTCGTGTTACTTCATTGTACAACTCAGCATCATTTTACAGTGTCCAAATCATCTTCTAGGATTTAAATGTATTTACAGTTACACAAGAGGAAAATTCACAGTAAATGTATTGATATAGATTATTTTGCCTGGATTTATACCCTGGTAATTGCAAATAGAACTGTGGCTAAGATAAGACTTAAATCTGCAGGATCTCTAAGTTGCTAAAAATCTCTGACACATTCACGGCACCCTGTCCAAACTGTTTCCTAAAGAAGACAGAGGATCTGCAGAGAAAAAGATAGTTTATCATATTCAAGCTTCCATTGCTGGGAACTTAACTTATGCAGCTCCACTGACTTCAGCACATAACCATTTTTTAACATCTAGCAGGCTAATGTAGAATGCTAATATATCTTTAAAGATATGGGCCAAATAAAAACTGCTCCCTTAATACCAATTTACATAGTTGACTATGATCCATGTCTGTTGGCCTCATCCTTGTCCCAGTGTACTCAATGGGCGCTTTTAACAATTGTGGACAGTTGTCCTATTGCAGATGAGTGGACACTATTTTGTTTCTGACCCAGTTTTTAGCTTCAAACACTCATATTTACATATTGAACCACCTCCATCCCCAAGATAAATTTCCATGGGATTGCAGAGCTAGTGCTTAGCTGACCTGGAGCTTGCAGAGAGTGATGGGGAGGCCATGTCCCCACTCTCTTCTTCTCCACATCTCTTTTCTGCCCTGTTCTTGGCCAAAAAACACATATTCTGATGTTGGTTGAGCAAATTTAAGTCACAGACAGAAAAAAAAAGAAGAAGAAGGAAAAAAAGAAACTTTTTGTTGAATGTGTTCTCTGCTGAGCTAGTCAGCCGAATTGTGTGAAGGAATGGGAGAAAGTGAGCAACCAGTGACTGGAAGCAGTTCACTGAACAGGAGCATCTCAGACATTCCCTCATTACAGAGCATGACTGCCCTGCCTAATTCAGAGAGAACCGCTTCACACCAATAGCAAAGAAAACAGAAGAAAAAAGGAAGAGAAGAAAAAGACCACCGCCATCACTTGCACACAGGCACCTTCAGCACCTCCAGCACTATATGAACGGTGTGCTTAATGTCCTGAACCAACACATTGGCTTCACTGCTCAGGTGCAGCCTCTTCTGCTTCTGACACAATGGTGAAATGGTGCAAACCTCATGCAATACAATATGCACTTGTCAGTCCCAGAACCTGCCTAGTCGTTTGCGATCACTGCTCACCATGGGAAAACTGGGTGCATTCAAATGCAAACTTCTGCAAAGGGTTATGGTTTGCAAGGACACACACAAATTGGTTCGTTTTGTATATACACATCTTAAAAACAACATTAATCCCTTGTTAATCAAACTTGGGAAGGTTCATGCAGCTGTAAAACTTAGGACATTTGCACCGAAGAGCTGATAACTGTTATCACTGTCTCCTCATTGAGGAGCTCCTCTTCAGTGGCAGCTTCACCCTTCTTGCAGTTCGGGAAGCAATGATTTAAAATGGCCTGTAACACTGCCAGCTCAATTTAACACCAAGAAGCTGAAGGTAGCAAAAGAAGAAGGGAGGGGAAAAATATGCAAAGAAAGTGTTACAAGGGAGTCTACAAATTGGAAATATTTCTCACTATATTCTGGAAAAAAACACTGCTGTTCTCTCTTCACTTTATGTGAAAACCAGGGAAATCTAGAAGCATTCTGGGACTTTTGATATCCAAAGCGAAATTTTAGTAATGAGCTATTTATATTTGACCTTGAAAGTTCCATTTTCCCAAGTTAGCTGGTAAGTCATTTTGCGTCTTGTTCACATAGCATTCTACACAAGAAAGAGAGATGCTTGTTTTTCCAGTGACTGCACTATAATCACTGCGCTAAGAAAAGTGCACAGATTCTGTGAGATCATCCCAAATAGGAGTGGATGACAGTGTACTGAAAATATCAACTTCAGTTGCCCAAGGGGCCACCTTTAATTTTAAGACTAGTGCAACTGGCTCCTTTTTAGCCCCAGTAGGAAATGTCATTAATATTTCTTTAATGGAGGTATGGCATCTAGCCCGGTATTCTCTATTGCCTTGACCTTTTGTTGTGCTTTTGTGTTGCAAAATGAGTGCATAAATCCATGTTGTCATACCAGTTCTCTCAAAGGCCTGGTCCCTTTGACGTGAAAATTTATGTATAATTCCTAAAGCCAACAAAGCTCCAATGACTTGTGCTAGACTGTAAAAGGTCTTGGCCACCTGCCTGGCACTCATCTGATGATTTGTTCAATTTCAAACTTTGCAGGTGCAAATTTCCTTGAGTCAGCCTCCAGTCTGCACACAAGCAAGTCTCTCATACGAGATTCTCCATTTTGCATGGGACTGGCAAATCCATAAGTCTACCATAAGATACTGTGACCTCCTGAATCTTTGACAGGACTAAGGATTTGCCATTTTGAAGCAGCTTGCAGTGCCATGCCCAAATAGCAGCCAGGATCCCCACCTGGGGAAGAAGGAATCAGGCCATTCTCCAAAATTGTCTGTTACTGTATAACCCAATAAGCCCCATTTAGACATCCCAGACTTAATGTAATTAAGATTTCTCTTGAAGATGAGTTCAGAAGTCATTCAACTCAAGGCTGCAGCATTTCAATTTTTAAAACTAGGTATTTCTTACAATGTGTGTTTTTTGCACTCCCTGCTGGCTTTTCAACATGTTCCTGGGGCAATTTATGCCTATACAGATATAAATCAATCTTCATCCCACATATATCAAT